CCCAGGCAAAGTGCTCATCTGCCCACCGTTCTGGGGCCAGAGGGGCAGATAGCCAGAGTTGCACCTTTCATAGCTCCCATTCCTTGTACCCTGTGGGGAAGGGATGTCTTGGGTCAATTTGGCACTGTAATACATATTGTGGCAGAAGATAACCAGACAAAAGACACTCAGATTTTTCACTAAGGGCCATTGATCAGCCGTTCCACGAACCTATTAAACTGACATGGAAAACAGAGGACCCCGTTTGGGTTGATCAATGACCCTTGAAAAAGGAACGGTTTGTTCAACTGCAAAACTTAGTCCAAGAACAACTGGATGCTGGCCACATAGCACCAATTTCTAGCCCGTGGAATACCCCAGTGTTTTGTGTCCCTAAGAAAAGTGGCAAGTGGCGAATGCTACAAGATCTCAGAGCAGTCAATGCAGTCATTGAGCCAATGGGGGCGCTACAACCAGGACTTCCCTCACCTGCCATGCTCCCTGCAGGATGGTCACTGATGGTAATTGACCTGAAAGACTGTTTCTTCACTATTTTCCTGCATCCAAGTGATGCCCTTCGCTTTGCCTTTCCAGTTCCTTCCCTCAATCATGCAGAGCCTATGAAAAGGTTCCACTTGGTCGTTCTCCCACAGGGCATGCGGAATAGTCCAACTATTTGCCAAACAGTGGTTGCCAAAGCCATACGCCCTGTCTGGGAACTCTACCCTTCTGCTATTATTTATCACTATATGGATGGTATCCTAGTAGCTACTGCCCAAGAAACTGATTTACCACCTATTATGACTACTTTAACCAATGCTGTTCAAGAAGCAGGGTTACAGGTCAATCCAGAAAAGATCCAGAAGACTCAATCCTGGACCTACCTCAGATGGAGAATCACACAGTAAGAAATTGTGCCACAGCCACTGACTCTTAAGGTAAAAGACACTCTGACATTACATGACTTGCAGCAAATATTAGGAGGTATTAACTGGCTCAGACCGATACTAGGAATAACCACAGAGGAGTTGCACCCTCTCTTTGAACTGCTCAAGGGAGACTCGACTTTAACCTCCACTTGGTCTCTGACGACCGAAGCTAAACGAGCCCTGAAGGTATGCTCTCAAGCGATTGAAAACAAACAAGGCAGACGGCAACACCCTGACCTACATATCTGCCTTGCACTTGTCTCCAGCAAATTCCAGCCTTTTGCCATACTGTTTCAATGGGATCAGATGGAATCTGACCCTCTCAGGATTATTGAATGGTTATTTCTGCCCCACACACCACCCAAAACTGTTTGGACCTTTAATGAAATGTTCTCTAAGCTTATCATTAAAGGCAGAGCACGTCTACAGGAGTTGGACGGACGGGACCCCGAGATCATCTACATTCCAGCGACGAAAGACAACCTGGACTGGTTGCTTGCAGAGGATGCTGGGTTCCAGACTGCATTAACAAACTACAATGGTGACATTTCTATCCACTTCCCCAAACACAGACTCTGGGCAGAAGTGGGGAACCTACCTCTAATGACTGCACACCACTGCCGGCCACAACCTGTGGAAGGCATCACTGTGTTCACTGATGCATCTGGATGGTCACAAAAAGCTGTGGTAGCATGGGTAAACCCTATCACTGGACAGTGGAACAAAAAAGTACAGACCATAAACCAAGGTTCTGTATGAGTCCGAGAACTTACTGCAATCCATATAGCCTTTGAATTGTTTTCTGCTCAACCACTTAATGTTATTACTGATTCATGTTATGCTGCAGGTTTGGTTTTGCATCTCAAAGCCTCTTTCCTTCGAGATATCACTAATCTTTGTCTCTTTGCAGAAATACGCACTATATGGTTCCTTGTGAACCACAGAAAGTTTGATTTTTACATAATGCATGTCCGCTCCCACACAGATTTGCCAGGACCCATAGCGGAAGGTAACCAAAAAGCAGATGCTGCCGCTATGACCATCACAGTGCCCAAAGCTCTCGAGTAAGCTAAAATTTCCCACCTGTTTTTTCATCAAAATGCACGTTCCCTGAAAAGACAATTCCAAATTACAATAAATCAAGCTCGAGATATAATTATGTCATGTTCTGACTCTCAGTAAATTGCCCCCATGCCATCTAAAGAAGGGGTTAATCACTGAGGTATAAGAACCAATGAGATTTGGCAAACAGACATGACACACATAGCTGAATTTGGTAAACTAAAATATGTCCATGTTACAATAGATACCCATTCTAGGTATATTAATGCTACTGCAGACACAGGAGAAAAAGCAAGAGATGTTATCAAACACTGGCTTAGTTGCTTTGCAACTTTAGGAATTCCATAAAAACAGATAATGGTCCTGCATACTGCTCTTTAAAGGTCAAATAATCAAGTAATGTATTAAATAAAGAGAGAAAAAAATCATTGCTGTGTTGGTTTTGGTTAGGGTAATTTTCCTCACAGTGGTTGGTATGGGGCTGTGTTTTGGATTTGTGCTGAACACAGGGTTGATAATATAGACACGGTTTTTTTATTGCTGAACAGGGCTTACACAGAGTCAAGGTCTTTTCTGCTTTTCGTACTGCCACGCTGGCAAGGAGACTGGGGGTACACAAGAAGTTGGGAGGAGACGCAACTGAGACAGCTGACCCCAACTGACCAAAGGGATATTCCAGACTATATGACATCATGTTCAGTATATAAAGTGAGGGGAAGTAGGAGGAAGGGGGTACATTTGAAGTTATGGCATTTGTCTTCCCAAGTAAGGTTACGCAGGATGCATTCCTGTTTTCCTGGAGATGGTTGAACACCTGCCTGTCCATGGGAAGCAGTGAATTAATTCCTTGGTTTGCTTTACTTGCGTGCACAGTTTTTGCTTTCCCTATTAAACTGTCTTTATCTCAACCCATGACTTTTCTAGCTTTCACCCTTCCAATTCTCTCCCTGACCCCACTGGTAGGGGAGTGAGTGACTGCCTGCATGGGGCTTGGCTGCTGGCTGGGGTTAAATCATGACAATTGGCCACACTGGATGGAAGAGTTTGTAGGAACAACACAGTTGACAGGCAACAAGAGCCTCCCCCTGTTAGAAGCAGCTAGATTCATCTCGATTGCCTGTGTAACCACAGTTCAGATTGGAAACCTACCTTCTGAAAGGCAATGCAATCTAAATGCAATCTAGTGCTGGTTGTCCTTTGATATCTTTCTACATACCTAGGACAGTTCCTCCTACAGTTTACTGGAAAGAGAATGACTGAACAGAACAGTAGCCTGAGTCATAATGGGGCACCTCCTCCTCTAGTCCCAATGAAAAACAAACAAAGCTCACAATAACCAGGACTCACTAACTCTGGTATGACACTGCAGTCTGGTTGCTCACAAGGACCAAATTAACACAAATGCTCCAAATCCTATAGTTTGAGCAACTGCTGTGAAGGCATCCCCTTACTATACTACTGATGTGTAATACATTTAATGTGCTGCATCACATATGTGATACTGCAAAATATGTAAACCATTAACAATAATGAAAATAAAAATTATTATGTTCAAGAGTTACTGTCCTCACTTCTGACATCACAGTGAGCAGAACCCAGGGGAAGGGGGGGGGGGAGAAGCCAAGCATTCAAGCAGTCTCTTGCCTTATTTTCCAAAGGCATACAATACAAACAGCAACATTTATTAGAAGTTCACACAAGCCTCAGAAAAAAACAGTTTTACAAGTTGCTACAGTGAGGTTTTCTGAAACCTTAGACAGAGTTATGTAAATAACTGCCAGATCAATCAGATTCTTCACACGACACACAAACCATTAAGCACAAATTGAGGGTTTAGGTTTAATATAGTGTCCAGCTAACACTGACCATTATTTTATTGAATGGTTGAACTGCAGTATGGGACATGAATAAATAAGCTTGTTGGATTATTGTTTCCTGCCTCATGACAAAACCATGCTAACTTCAGTGCCTTTGATTTCCAGGTCTTTCTTCCCTTAAAAACATCTGCAAACTCCTGAATCTGGTGGGGGGAAACAACCAACTTTCCAGAAAATCCCAGCAGAATCCCCCCCCTGTTTAGTAGGTATCATAGATCTCACAGAGGCTGAGAATAGATTACATAGTCCCACTCAAATTGAAGAGCTGAAGTCACGAGTGACTTGCCATTGATTCAGTCAGTGAACTTCCCATTTCAGTTCTCTTTCCAGACAAATATGACAAATTAGTACCCTAAACCTAACACACACACTTCCTTTATTCACGTGTATTCCTAGTCAGCACCATACATCCTCTCATAAAGAGATACTGAGCAAGATGAGAAACAATGGATCCCCAACAGAGAAATAACAACTCATGGGCATAAATAGCACTCTTCGTATATTTTAATCATAAGGAACAACTGGAATAATAATATCAAACTTTTTTGTCAAACGATGAAAGTGTCTAAAGGCATTTCTGTAAGAGCATACTGTTGTGTCATTTTTTCAGAACACGGTTCACATGCCAGAGTAAACAAAAAGTTATTACTTTGCATTGAAGGCCTTTCCTCCTTCCATCACCTCATCCCCTCCCACCTTCCCAGGCTTTCCTCCACACACCTCTTTCCCACCAATCACCTCAACCCCATCCACAGCCACCTCACACGTCTCATTGCTCACCCCACACTTGTCCCGTTTTCCCCTTCCTCATGAGCCCATTACATCCCTGCTTCATTCCTCTCGCACCCACATCGCCCTTCTCTTCCCCACTTCAGCCCCTATCCCGCCACCGCACCTCCTCGTCGCCTCCTCTCCCTGCTGCAGCCTCCCTGCCCCCAGTGGAATCGGTAGCCCCCGACAAGCGCGAGCGCTCCCCGACAAGCGCAGCGCGCGCCAGGCCCGGTCACTTCCCAACCTCGCGCACACAATGAAGCCCGTGCACACAATGAAGCCCGCGCAGCCTCCTCCCCGCCCCGCCTGCGCCACGCACTGGGGCGGCGGCACTCGACCACTTCGCCGAAACAGCCCTTCCCGCCGCCCCTGCCCCACTGACCATCGCTGCGCTTGATCTCCACGTAGATCCCTATCTGAACCTTGCTGAAATTGGCCGCTGCCATGGCTTCATGGAGCAGCCGGGGATATCGGAGGAACTGCCGGTCGGCGCACAGCGGGCAGTGAGGATGTGCACAGTAGCAACGGTGGCGATGGCAGCACCGACCGCGGCGGCTTCGAGAGGGCGGGTAGGCGGAAAGGGGGGGAAGGGTGGAGAGAGAGAAGACGCCGGCCGGATACAATAAGCACTGGTAGCTGCAGCGCCTGTGCAGCACGCCGCAGCATCACGACAGGCCCGGCTCACAGAGGAGGCGGGGGCAGAAGCGCTGCCGCGGTTCATCCTCCGCCCTTCGCAGCACCTGAGCGGAGCTGGCACAAGATGGACACCCCCACTCCCCTGGGGCTGCCTCCCCGCTCGCTTTGGCCTGCCCTGGGAGATACTCGTCCCACGTCCGGGCTGCCTTTGCGAGCCTCTCCTCTTGGCCCTGTCCCTGACTTAAAAACACACACGTGCACCTATTTAGCACCAGATGGTGACTAAGCTGCCTCGAAGTTTTAATGTAATAGCTTTATCTACTAAATATCTACTCATAAGGCTCCTGCGTGTCAAGTAGAGTAGCTTAGAAGCATGCTTTGTACTTGCCAGCATCCCTTCAGTCTATTAGGTATTGATTCAAAGAAATCCTTAAACAATATGTAAAGCACACTTTTATTACTGCCAGGAAGATGCAGGGATTTCAACCCCCCTGTGCATTCTTATTACTATAGAGTAGTTACATAAAGTTTTATCATTTCAAACAGCTTAGGTTTCCCCCACCCCTCTTCTGTCTCCCTTGTGATACTACATGCTAGAAGTCTTTCCCACTTTCCCTGACAATCCTTTTTGTTTGTGTAAGCTAGCTTTATCTTAATTGCCCACAATTTGGGCAGCAGCCTTCTTTCAAGCAGTTAGAATTTTGCAAAGTCACACTTAACATAGGTAAATATTACTAACATAGCTAATTTTTTATTCTATTTTATCTTGTTTTTATTTCACTTCTCCCCTTTTCTTTTAACTAATGCAAATTCTTTTGCATTACCCTTTGTACAGTCCAGAGCACATGTACTTGTTGCACTATGGTCTTAATCCTCCACCACATCCATAGAATGATGATTGTCAGAAGGAAATCTGTCAGCATCAAGACCAAGACAGGGTGGACCAGGAAGTTAAACAGCTGGGCTGCAGTGGGTGATTGTATATTGTGAATCTGAGAAATCCAGTAAAGAAACTGCCCAGAAGCTTTTGGTCTTTTGAGCAGCAAAGGTATTTATTTGACAAAGTCCGGAGCAAGTGTGGTTTGGACCACAAAGCTCTTACTCCAGGGTAGTGGTACAAAACACAGTAATTTATACAGTTTTATTGTTTTACGTACATATTCATATGATTGCAACATCTAATTATGCATATTGATAATAGGTGGAGTATAGACGGAGTGCAGGTAGAGCTTGGGGCAGAGCTTTTCTTGGCCCTCAATTCTAGGGGTACGTCCGCCTTTCTTCATCATTGGGGCTGGGGTCTCTATTGTTTTTCTCAGTGTGACCTCTCTAACTTTCTATTGTTTTTGCCCCAACCACTGAAGCTTGGAGAGAACCTTGGTTTTAGGCCTATTCCACCTATTCAAATGTCTACCTTAGTTTACTTTTGACCCTGATTTATTAACCCTAAGCCCTTTGTATAATGCTTCTAACATTTTTCTCTAGTTTAGGTCCACTGAACTGAACAGAACAGAATTTCCTGTAACAGCATGAGCAGAGCAGATATGGAGGGGAGAGTTTTAGGGGAGAGTCTCCTCAGAGCAGGATACCTCGGTTAACTCTCTTTAGGCCTTGCTCTCTTTCAGTCCCCCCTTTTCTTCAGACTTACGAATTCCTTTGTCAAGTTCGAAAGGAATCCGATAGGTGTGCATCATTGCCCACATTATCTGTGTCCTCTTGATTATCATACTTAATTTGCACCACAGCAAACATTCAAGGGGGATAGTAGGATCATAATTGCCACCATGATTAATACTGGATGGACTAAATAGTGGAACACTTGTGATGCCGTAGGGGAATATCCTGTAAAAATATCCCACCAGTGATGTTCTCCCACTTGTTCTACTTTAGTTAGGATGCTTTTTATACTTGTAGTGTCATGTTCCACTTGCCAAAGCATGCGTTGGGTTGTTCTGTTCACTTCCTGGACCAGCTTTTCTATGTCAGGATGCTTGAGCACTGATTTGAAGAGATCAATATCCATCCCTATCTGCAATTTCGGTACATCATGATACAAAACATCCAACTGGTGGCCGGTCACTAGTTGTGTCCCCCAGGGATCAGTGTTGGGCCCAGTCCTATCTAACATCTTTATCTACGACGGTTGATTTGGAGAGGGGGCACCTTCAGGTCTTGGGGGTTAAACCATTCTCTGGAGGCGTAATGCTCTCCCAACTGCCCTTCGAGCACGTGGCTCTATGAGCCCGTAAGGACACACAGGACCACGGCTGAGGGACGGACGAAAGAGGAAGTTTATTTGGGGATGGGGGTTTATATGGGTTTCAGGGGCATTGGAAAGGGACCAATTACAAAGTCAAGGTACCACAGAAAAACCCAATAAGGTAAAGAGTTAACAACCAATAGAAAGAGGTGAAACAAAGGCCAATGGGAAGACCTCAGGGTATCTTCCCAGGACATTCCTGCATAAGGGTCCTTCACAGGGGGGTGTCGGGAAGGAGAAGCAGTGACTTTGCAAAATACAGAAAAGCCATCTTAAGATCTGTTTAAACAACATTAAAAACTTCTGTTTCTATACCCCTTGAGCTGTTTTCTTCTTTTCCTTCACCAGTCCATCTCTGGCAGGATTTCTTCCACCCTATATAGGGCAAATCCATTCCTACATTTCCTCCTTTTTTGTTTTGTATAACCAGATATGCCTTTACTAATTGAAATGTTCTGGCACAACTGAGCATGCATGGAAAAACACACATAAAGAGAAACCCTACGAAAAGTCCTAGTACTATAACTACAATAATTTTTTTGATAGTGGAAGAAAGGCCTTTGAAAGGTAGCCAGCTGAAAAAACTATCAAAAGTCAAACTATCATGTTGGGGCCTTAGCAATTCTACATGACTATACTGAGTTCTGAAAAGGTCAAGAGGTAACAGTAAGATAAACAAGAAACGGCCTGCTGCTACAAGAATGCAGGAGTCAGCAAAAGCAGAATGAGAAAAACAGTGATAACAGAAACCGTATGCAAATGTGGGCTTCAAAACCACAAATCGGTGGGTTACCTGGGGCGCGTGGACAGTGCATGCTGACCAATCGTGATGGCGTGTTGTGCTCGTGTTCGCGTGAACAGAACTCAGAAGAATATAAATTGTACAGCCTAACAATAATAAACTGGATTCAAACTTGCATCTTGTGGATGTGTGTGGTTCTTTCCCGCTCACTTGTATGCCTGCAGCACTATCAACCTGACTGATGTCATGAACTAAGGATTTAAGCTGATTGATCTGGGAGTGGATAGATTGGGAATGATCAGAGAAGTTGAGGCAGCAAAGGTCTTCAAACTCCTGACATCCATGGCCATTTACTAAAAGGAGAAAGTCTATGGCAGCACGATTTTGTAACAAGGCTTTCTTATTGGTTTGGGTATCTTGTAATAGATCATTAAGGGCAGCACTGGTGGCATTAGATTCTTTTGCTAACCAACATCCCATTCTGGTAAGGAGCACTAAGGCTTCTGTGGAACTGACTACGGGAAGTATGATACCACCTAGAACATTCATGGTGTTGGACCAAAAGTGCATGTTGGAATTGCATTCTGCTATGAATTCACTCAAAAACTGCATTTTTGCTAAGGGATGTTCTTCAACTGGAGGTGGGGGTGCTTCAGCCACAGGGACTTGTGCTATTTGATCTTCTGGATTAATCACTTTGGGTACAAAATTAGGTTTGATTACAACAGACACAACTTTAGGATCTTGAAGACTAATAACCATGGGTAACACAGTAATACCTAATGCAGTGGCAGATTCTGTTCCTGTGATAACACATTTACCTGTACAGTTTGAGACCTGGGAAGAGGCAGAAGCCAATAACACAGTGTGATACTCTGCATGTTCTAAGGTTTGAGGATTTGAAGTTGCTAACTCCAATTTAAAAGCACCTGTTTGGGGTTTTTGTGGGGAACTGTTTGAGAGGGGTAGATTAGATTGCTGAGTAGAGGTTTTTATGTCTACGCGCTGCCCTAAGCGCTGGTTATGAAGTTTCCCAAATTCTGTGTTTTTGGAACAGGCCTGGGTGAGAGTGGGTTTCCCTTTTTGTCAAATAGGGATCTACAGTCTGTAGCCCAATGTGGTCCTCTTTGACATCTGGGGCATATACCTGGACGAGTAATTTTTTGAGGATTGGGGTTTTTTAATTTTGGGCAGTTAGCTTTTAGATGTGTCACAGTTTAAATGGGACAAGGGTCTTTTGCTGAGGATGAATCAGGAGGAAAAGACCCAAACTTCTTTTTCTAAGCAATTATAAATCCGAAATTAAGAGGCTCCGATTGAAGGAAAACAAATTATGGAAAAGGGAAAACAAAAAAAATAACAGCTCTTTATTAAAAGGTATGTGTGTATTAACAGGAACACGAAAAAAACTAAGTAAAACAACCAAGCAATACTCCTATACCCCCCAATAATCCCCTTCAAGAACAAAACCAATAAACCGGCAAAAGGAAAATTTAAAATAGTTCAATTTTTAGCACCCTTTGGTGCAGTTCCAGCCACAGTCAGCAGGGGGCGCCATCGGGTCACTGGAGATGCAAAACTTGTAATGTCCTGTACCATTCACCAGGTGGCGCTGTTGGGTTACTGAAGGTGCAAAATTTGTAGTGTCCTATAGTAGTCACCAGGTGGCACTGTTGGATCACTAGAGGAGTAGAACTTGCAATGTCCAGTGCCCGTCACCAGGCGGTGCTGTGAGATCCTTGGTTGCCGCTGGGGGGGGGGGGAAGAAGGGGAGGGAAAAACAACAGCAATAAAACAGAAAGTTCTCCCAATGGAAGAAAACTCACAAAGTTCAGCTGATTAGGGTCCGTTGTAAGCAGGGCCTGCAACCAGCCACAGTTGAGCCGAGAGCAGCAGCAAGAACTCCCCTCCGACAGGAAAGAGACAAAGAAACGCAGCAGTGTCTCCAGCC